GCAGAAAGCCCGTTGTTCGCCTCACGTAACTGCCGAACGGAAAGTCCGTTGTTCGCAACCAGTCCGTTGCTCGAGTCACGTAACGGCCAAACAGAAAGTCCGTTGCTCGAGTCACGTAACGGCCAAACAGAAAGTCCGTTGCTCGAGTCACGTAACGGCCAAACAGAAAGTCCGTTGTTCACAGCGTCCGTTATTCGAGGCGTACATTATACGAGGCATCACTGTATATATATATGAAAATATCAACAAAGATTTACAAAAAATAAACATGAAACTAGCCCCGAAATATGAAAAATTAGAAAATAGATTAAGACTCATAAAATCTAATAAAAAAGCAGACAATAAAGAACAAGAAACAAAGAACATAGTGTATAAGATACCATGTACTTGTAATATAGTTAACTTCTATATAGGAGAAACTAAATGCAAACTAAGTATACGATTAAAGAAACACATTGCAGATCTCAGATATTATAGACTAAAACTCCGTTTTTCATGACAACTGTTTATTAAACGGCTGTAATATAGATAAAAATAATGTTCAAATTTTATACAAAGAAAAAACATGTATAATAGAAAATTTAAGGAAAGTGTTTCAATTTTAACAGCCAAAAACTGTATCAATAAAAATTTAAGTGTAAAAATAAATGAAAACTGGCTGAAAATATTATAAAACATGCAGTATGCATTAATGTCGATTGTAAATTGTCTAAAAAGTTATACTGTTGTTACCACTCATAATATCTGTAATATGCAAATCAGTACAAAACTGCAACGCAGTAAGTGACGCGGATACAGTCAAAAGACAATAACATTAAAAAAATCGCTCGTTTCTGAAATGTACATGTAATTAAGTCTATACTTCTTAGATATTGTAATAGTTGGATATTGTGAAATAAGCAAATGATTATATATATAGCAGATTTTAATGTAAAGGGAATTACTCCACTTATTGTGAGATAAGTTGCATGTGTCGATTGGGTAAAGACCTTGTATGTATAACGGATTGAATATGGATATGGTAAGAACTATATCTTGTTTTAATTCAGTTTTATTAGATATTTAGTGTAATATTTTAAATATTGTATCATTTAGTTGACTGATGAGGGGCTTTATGCCCAAAACGTGCAAATGCCACATATCAACTAAAAGGAGATGGAAATAAAGCCAAGTGTTTATTTAAAACTCAATTTTGAGTTTGAAGTCCAACAAATTTATCAAACACAGGTTTCAAAGACAACATAAAAAAGCTTTATTTTATACTTTTAATGTAGGTGAATATTTAAAATATTTAAACTTTTTATCATGTAAAAAATAAATATTTGAATTGGTGGCTTATTATGGATTTTAAAATCATAATTTATATCTAGATAATTATAATTTTTATCTTTTTACCTGGACGTAGTGGATATCCTTCTCGTCTGTTGTTAACTTGTCCTCGAACTATGTCATAGAATTCTGGGGTAAAACCATACTGTTTCCACACCTGATGATAATTATACAGAGTTTTCTGTGCTTGATCAATTTCTCCAAAGAGGGTCTTTCAAAGAAAATAACATAATAGCCTATGATCATAACATAAAACACTTCATGTTCAAGAAGGAAATTGTTATTAATGATGTAAAATTTAAAAATAAGTTTACACTTACTAAAAGACCTGGCCAAAATGATTCTAAAGACTGAAAAATAGGCATGGTCACTTGGCCACTTCCCATACTAACCCACATGTACCAGTCATCTCTCTTCATATATTTTGAAATCACCCGATAATATTCTAACAAAGTAATAAGTTATGGTTAAACATCCATAAGGTATTTAAATCAATTATAAATTTAAAAAATGGGATTGTATCAAATTCATTGTTTTGATTAAAAATAATCATTAATTAAAATATCAGTATGGATTTAAATTATATTTATAAATTACATTTACATTCTTTTTATTAATTTTAAAAATAAATATTAATTTGGATTACATGTATTTTAAATTAATTGTAAATTAAATAAGATGTTTAAATAATAATCTTAAATATATCTTAATATTAAAGAAATTAAATAAGAATCTTAATTAGAATCATTCCTTGATTTGAAGTGTACAACATTTAGTTATTTACATTACTACTTTTTCATTGTAAAATATGTAAAACTTTATACAATAAAATTCAACTTATCTGTGAGATATCTGAACATTCCAACATCTGAACTTCTTAAGACCATTCATGTGTTGTCATTGTATGTCTTGTCATCTTATGAAATTTTTATATTGAACATATCATTGTTTGAAGAAAGAATTTAATCGTAAACGTTAAAATTTATGAACTGCTAAAACAAGTATGTACTAACAATGTTTCCTATCATTTTCATGGTTTTAAATGCCTTGTGAAATTTTGGGAGAATCATGAAAATTTTGAAGTCAACAAAGACTGTAAATGAGTTATAATAGTCCAAATTCCTACATGTGAACTGATTTATCTGACTTCAATTCATGGAAGAATAATTTCATAGTTATAAAGAAACATTATAAAATGTTGATGAAAAGAGTTGCTTGTTCTTGCCTAATTTTATGGTAGTGATTAAATATTTTTTGACAAAGTACAATTTGCTAAATTATTTTTTATTATTATTTTATTTCTACAACTTATTATTTTTTTATCCAAAATCAAAGTGATGCCATATTGTATTTTTTTAGTTCATTTATTTGTTTATATTTTCATCACGTTTGTCGTTCATTTTATATTATTTTGTTGTTAGTAGCACAACATATTTAAAAAATTAAGTCTGTATTTAGATATGAAATATGAAGCTTGTTTCATACAAAAAAAACATTAGACAATTAAACTTTATTTATGTATTTTAAATCAAAACATTAAAATGCGAAAAATGTTTACTAATTAAATTTAATACGTGATTCATAATTACATTTTAAGGGATACCTTTAAACATTTTCATCAATTCAGGTTTATGAAGTAAAATTGATCCTTTGAACTGACAAATTTAAATTTATCAATTTTTACTAATTAAATTTAATATTTGATTCATAATTACATTTTAAGGGATACCTTTAAACATTTTCATCAATTCAGGTTTATGAAGTAAAATTGATCCTTTGACTAAATATTCATAATAAGAATCAACTCCTGCCCCTATTCCTGCATCTAATGCTGTCCACTTTCCTTCTTGAACATTTATATGGTTTCCAACCTATTTGTAATAATTAAATAGCTTCAATAACTTTTTATTAAATTGTAAAATTTTAATTATAATAAAAAGCTTTTATACCAAACCAACAGAAGATCTTCTATCCCATAAAGCATTTAAAGCTTTCATGGCCGTTTCTTCAAATATTGAATCTCCTGTAAGTCTACTCAGTGTACCAAATTCAACAATAAATGTTGAAATTCCTGCTGTACATGTTATAGCTGTTTCTCCTGGTGGTACTCCGTGTCGGAGATTTACAGTTCCATAAGGCATCCCTGTTGGAGTCTGAAATGCTTAAAAAACAATTATTTCAAAAACTATTTAAATTATAACAGTAAAGTATAACTTGCAGTCTTATAATAATCATCATTATAACTATAATCTATGAATATCTAATGGAATAAAATCTGAATGTAGAGTATATTCCCAACATTTATTGTAAATATAGTGCAAAACAAAGATAATTAAAAGATGTAATATTTAAATTTTGATACACTTTCTATAAAAATCTTTGACTTAAATTTAAAAATTTGAATATTTAGAAATATTTTCATCAATTGTATAAACATTTTTTTTTTTGAATGAACTGAAATTACCTGGTAGTAAACGCCGTGCTATATTTTCAGCTAAACGTAATAATGGTCCAGAACATGGCCATCCAGGTTCTAGTTCTAATCCAGTTTTAAAAGATAAGAGATGAGCTGATAAAAGACCACCTACAACTGAAAGAATTAAATCAAATTGAAATCAATGTAAACAAATAGCACAATATAATAACAATAAACAATTCAAAACATTGCATGCTTTTATATAATATGGATTCACAACTAAGTCTTGAAAAGAGAAGGAACAATCTAATGCATTTTCTACATGTAATACATAAATAAAATGAATACTTGAAAACATGCTTACTTCAACTAAGCTGCATACTCAAATTATATCTAAATCACAAGATCATCATTAATGCAGTAAACAGTTATGTAATTCTTACATATTCTTAAAAATATATAAGACTCTTTTATTCTTTTTATAATCTAAATAACAATATCAACAAAACAAACACATCATCATCCTAATATGTCACCGAAAAATAAGCACGTATAAAATTTTCAATCCAAAATCAAAAAGTGGATACAAAAATAGGTACAGTAGTACTGTACATTATATCTTTAAGAAACGAATAAAAAAATGATATTTTCTTAATACTTATAGCCATATTTACTACCTCAATTCAAACCAATACACGAGTAATTGTTTCAACTAATTTTCAACACAAGTGTTGAGTGTTGAAACCAACAATTTGACGTCATCAACAACATTCCAACTCGAGTGCAAAGTGCTTAGTTCCCATAATTCCATTCTCAGCAAAATAGATTCCATTTAAATGTCTTACCAATTACGCACAATTCATTGGAAAGTAGCAGTCAACATATCTGTTGAGTGCTGAGTGTGTTGAGTCAACATTGACAACAGTGTCACTTCAACATTGAAAAAGAAACAACTTTTAATGAACATTGAGATCAGCGCTTAGTCAGCATTGAAAATTGGAATGTCCCGGCAGTCAGATTTAAATTTCAACTTCAGTTAAAATCAACATTCACTGTGTGTCAGTTCTAGATTTAACTTTTAAATTATCAGGGATTTAATTTTCATATTACAGGTCAGAGTATGCACTGATAAAATTATTCTAAAAATAACACATACATGCAATTTTTTTGATGATTTCTGTCTTTTTAAGTATTGAAACTAGTCATAAATACTACTATATTTGATGACTACTTTGTCATCAAATATTAAATTTCCAATGTAATTTTTATGTTCCATGACCATTCTAACAAAATTCTTTTCCTCAAAACTTCACAAATTTTTTTAAATTATTAGATTCCATCATAGTAATAATCTGACTTCAAAAATCAGGCATTTATTTAGTACATAATTCACACAAAGACATATTTGGATAAGACAGATGGCTTTTAACATTGCTCCAACTTCAATATGATGATTTTGTAATCTAGCTTTAGATTGGATTGGTGAATTTGCTATTAGAAAGTAAACTATGAACATAATTATGTTGCAAAAACATATAGTATGCAGTAGTGTCTATTTGTTGCTTGGTAATGTTCAAATATTTTCCAAGAATTTAAACAAAATTTCTTCACAAATAATGTTTACAACAATTCTGAAATAAAAAATTGCTAAGATTAAATAAAATAAACATTTTTGAAATGATACATAAATAAGTACATAGTTTATCAAATGTAATATATCTGAATAAATAAATATGAAAATAATCATTAATATTAAACCCACATAATTTGTTTATTTATTTTAAAAGAACTATTATAGGAAAGAATGTACAAGACAAAATTTCAGAGTACATAACTATTTAAAAATTGATTTAAAAAAATGCAAAAAGTTGTATAATATACATTATAAGAAAGCTTGAAAACATTAAACAAGATGATTGATTAAAAATATCATATGTAAACATTACCCAATTGATATACTCAGAATTGATTTAATAATTAAAAGGATCAATTCTTTTCCTTCGAAATATAACTATGCTATATGTTTAGTCTGACTGAGATGTCTTTCTTTCTTCTATTCTGCAATAATAAGATCTCTGATGCTCAATAGTTTCTTTAAATGCACAGAATTTATTCCAAATTTGATCATTTCAACAAAATTGCCAAGCTGCTTAGAGTTTTGGTTTACTAAATTAATTGAATCATAGTTTACTTATAAAATTATTTTCCTTATACAACATCACATGAAATCATTACTATACTTCAGCATACACACAGACTTATTGAATATTATATAACATTAGTCTATACTGTACATAAATATTTACTTCTCACTGTCTTAGGAAAAGAATGTAATATTTAATCTCATTATATGTAATATTTTGCATGGAAGAAGATATAATTTTGTATTCATCAAATTTTAAACAATTACAAGTTTTATGAATTTCATGTAAGATGATAATTCACAAATAGTCTGCAGGAACTGCAGAATACAGGAATATAGCTATGGAGCTGTAGAATTGTGGCTGCTGTGAAAGAGATGGATATGATAGGAAGAATTTGAGTGTCAGTTGGATGTGTGCCATGTGATACAAGGTACATTCATTGAGAAATTGTAATGGGTTAATGCAAAACTTGGACATTTTCCAATGTTTTAATGTACATTATAATGTTCTCAGATAATAATTAACATAATTACAATAATTTAAAACAGTAGAATTCTTTTTGGAAGAACCTCTATTGTAAAAATTTTAACAACATTAAAAATAATTAAAGTTATAAGTCACCATACCTCTGATATTTGTTTCAAAAACTGATACATTGATGTTGGTATTAAAATCAGCTGTACTGATGATTTTTTCTACAACCCTGCGAAATTCACTATAATTGCCCATCACAGCTAATGTATCCAAAGCATCAATAAGGGTTAATGAAAAACTTCCCCATGTGTCCATTCCATCACAAGATAATGGCCTTAATTCATCATAAGGATAAGCATTTGTTAAATAATTGTTGTAAGCATGCTGAAACATTTGTACAACTTGTTCCCTAAAAATATTAAATTATTATTTATTATTATTACTGTTTTAAAAATAAAAATGTATATTATAGTTAAATATTTTAAAATCATTAAACAAATAAATTGATAAAATTTATTAATTAAAAATCATATATTTTAATTAATTTAAAATGCATTCTTCTAATCTAAGTTTGATTNGATTGTTCTTCGTTGGTGGAACACATTTCTTTGCAAGCTCGCTACATTTGCTGTACTTCCATATAAATAAATAATTTAAAAGATTTTTATATTATCATAATTTCTCTTACTTTTTATAGAAAAACTATAACAAATACATGTTTTGTATTTTGATTACCTCATGCTCAATCTACTTAATATTGTTTACAATTAACAAATAAATAAATCTACGGATTTATTCTTTTTACATTGTTAACAGATTACTTAGATTGCTCGATAGAATTTCTCAATTATAAATGCACTAGAAGTATTACATTGCTAGAAGTTTATGAGAGTATAACTCTATACTTAAATCAGTAATCAGCAATTTTTAGCCACGAGAGTCTTTAAAAATTTTTACGTATGACATAAATATGCTTAACATCCGAATTTAGATACTCGATTTGCCGCATCATCATTATTCGAGAATGTTTCTCATCATCTCAACGGAGCTAAGCAGTGTAAACCCTTCGAAGGCTAACTTATATAAAGGGTAGGACACATATTCGGTGCTAATTCACTCGCCAGAGGTACCAACATCGCTCCTTGCATAGCGAGGAATATCCGATGAACAAAAGTATATCTCGAAATTTTAAAATCATTAAACAAATAAATTGATAAAATTTATTAATTAAAAATCATATATTTTAATTAATTTAAAATGCATTCTTCTAATCTAAGTTTGATTTTATTTTAGATAACAACATATCAATTTTCAAATAAATCAGTCTATAGACTATTATCAAAACTGAAAAACTGGCCAACAAAACTTTTTTCTCTTTCTGCTCTGTGGGTACCAAGAGGGCCATTTTAATTATATTCATTATGGGTTTGGCCAGACCGCCAGCTGGATGGTGAGGAATGGGCCTGACATATTCAGGACAGACCAACCTCTAAAAAATTCCTGGAGTTTCTGACCCATCCAGATTCCTTCCCATGTCCCCCAGAGTGGTATGATAATACATTAACCACTTCTTCATCTGAATGTCACCTTCTAGTTTTGATCCCAGATCCTCCAGTGCTGATATCTTAATCACCTTGACCATCCAGCTATCAAAGACCAACAAAATTTATTTGCCTAGATACAAAATAAATTTATGCATTTTTAATGTTTATTTTAATCCCAAGTAAATAAATTAACATTGATGCTTAACATGCATATTTATGTTATTAATGTATTTTAACTTCAACTTACTGTACATAATTCTATTTACATTTTAAATCTTACTTCTCCAAACTCTGAAGTCCATCAATAAAGCAGAAATAGAATCTAATTATTTTTAAGAATTCAAAAAATCTTTCTAAAATAGATTTTAATTCTAAGTAGGTGGTGGAAAAGTGTATATGGTAATAAGATTCACTGAATCATTGTTGATTGGGATAGTATAGATGTCAAGTTTTTAATTATATGGCATATTTAAAATTGGAAACAAGATTACTAAAACTTCAAATAAACGTATAATAAGAGACATGTAATATGTAAGTCATTTGCTTTATTCATATGATTTATACTTTAAACAATGTTATTCAAGAAAATCCTTTCAAATATAATTAATATATATAAATTTAATTTCTATTAAAAAGAAAATTATTGAAAAAAGTCTACTTTCTAGTGTAATGTATTAAATTTTTCTAGTAATACTGTTGCATGAAAGAGAAAAATATTTTTGAAACATTTCTTTGAAATTAAACTCATACGGGCTCAATTACATTGGGCATGTTTACTAACTACTGGATAGTGTAAAAACTTGATTGCAAGTTTACAAGTTCGCTCACACACACACAGTGAGTACCAATTACACTGGGCTAGTAGATTTGTTTATTTTCTTTCAAGATTATATTGAAAAAGAATAAAATATAATATTCTTTAAACTGTATGACAATATGAAACATTGTCAAGTCTAATTTTAACTTTAAAGTCTAAAGAAAATATTTCGTAAGGACAAAAAATTGAGTCTTTACTCAGACAGATCTAAATGTAATTCTGAAAAAAACAATTTCAATTCCTTAAGCAAATAATAATATTCTTTATATTTCTTGAGGAAAATTGTCATTATGCTTTTTTTTTTTTTGTTTTCAAAATGCAAGCAAAAGCTAGAATTCTCGTGAGTTACTTCAGCCAGTAGTTGTATATCTTCTAAGTGCTAATTTACTTGCTATACATGATTATACAGAGCAAGTTTTCTAGTCAGAGAGTAAACTTGTGAACAAGTGACAACTGTAACCCAGCCTTCAACTTTACTCAGCTAAATTATCTGGCAAGTTTACTAGCCAAAATAATTACATTGACAGAATTTAACAGCAGCAAGAAAAATTCATCAGCAAGTTGCTACTAAACCTACATGACATAACTGAGTCTTAATGAACTTAAACCATTATTATTTCTCTAATTTATACAAACTACATACAGTGCATAAATATTTATTACACCTCATAATGAATTTCTTTTTCTAATGCTACAATGTTAATTTGTAAAAAAAAACATTATGGAATAATATTTAGACCATATGCACAAACACTTTTAGCAGATTCACCAAAGTGCACCCAGATCTTAACACATGAAGGCTCATTGAAATGCATTAAAATTTTCCAGCCTTAACTACAGTATATTAAAAGATTTGAATTAATGATTATTTTACATTTTTTGATCATGTGGTACAATTACACCTCTGAAAGAGACTACGGGGATCTTATTAGAGCAGTAGACCATACCCACAGGAGCAAAAAAGTAAGGAACCATATCTCTACATGTTATCCTTCACAAGATATAGCTCCCCCAAAATCACATTGCATGCAATCGTGAGTCTCATCGCTCTGCCAAGACTGCATTTAACTATTTAACTATACCAGCTTCGAATAATCCACTCAACTGTTTGTGGAGTACTTGATGTTTTAGGAGGGCACGTGGGCTTGACCCACACAGATGTCAAGACGATCACTATCACTCGCACCAAAGCGCACAACCACACGTGGAGTGTCGGTCATGGCGACAACTCCATGTGTCGTCAGCAAGCCTCGACTCTCACGGAACATGGAGAATATGAAAACTGACTTTGGAGGCAAAGATCCCAAGAAGGAACGCATATACAGGTATGGTTCCTTTGACTTTTTTGTTCCTATGAGTATGCTCTACAGCTCTGTTAAGGTCCCAAACATATCATTATGAGCTTGAATTGAGCCTATAATTTATCCATAATATTTATGTTATAATATTTACAGTAGAAGTTACCTTTAGATAAATCGTACATATAACCACATATACACGAATTAACTAAACGTTACTTCCATTAACATTTCAGTAAACATCCATTTTCGACGCATGATTTTTATAATATATCACTTTTATATGATGAATAACGATACCTATAAGATTTTATATCGTCTTCTGTAATTTTTCTACATTCGTACACGTTAAATAATTCGTAATTAACAGCAAACATAAACCAAATTATTATGCCACCTCGCACCTTCTCCATGTTTATTCGATCACAACAACAGATGACGTAGTCTTAAACTTGTTATCCGAGATTAAATTTTAATAAATGTTTTCGTCTCATTTTCTGTATATTTCGAGTACGAATATAAGTAAATTGATAAATTCACGAAAGTTTCTTTCCCCGTCCGAACACAATTTTCATATTTGTGACAAATAAAATGCAGATGGCAGCTCGATCTTCGGCATCGAACGCTATATTTTGGGATTTAATGCGTTCGTAATTTCATTAATTTCGAAATTAATTAATTGAAATTTGGAAATTAAAAGTGTGTACTGGATTGTACACATACACACAACATCCATACATACAGGAAAAACCCCCGAATTTTTTTTGCATTTCTCGACATTTCAAGGTCTCTTGAGCCCAAAAATGTGGGTCATTTTTTGACCGATCGCCATACTTTCCCTGTGTTATAAACAGAGCCGGCCCTACCATAGAGCGAACGGAGCAGCCGCTCCAAGCGCTAAGTCCTAGGGGCGCCTCAGTGGTAAAGAAAATTAAAGGGTATAAATTAGGGGCAACCAAGGGGGACGCCATAATAGAATCTCGCTCCATCCTAAAACTTGCCTCGGGCCGGCACTGGTTATAAACTTATAATAGCTGAGAAAGTAAAAATTATTAATATAGCTTTTTTAATCGGACAAATTAGTCCATTTCTTAATTTGATTTGAACACACTATTATGACAAATCTAAATCTGTGAACCTAGCATGGGCGTAGCGAGGGGGGAGCCTGGGTGGGCACGGCCCCTCCCAGGGAACCTGGTGCCCTCCCCAGGAAATCACAGCCGAAAAAGTGTTGAGTCGATTTGTAAAAACCTAAAGCTAAAATAAAAGTTTTGAATACTAAAAAAAGGTGAACGGCTTGCTCGGTGCCCAATAATGAACAATAATTTGAAATAATTCAATTTTGTGTCAGGTTGGCCTCCACTAGGCCCCCCATAACAAAACTCTGGCTACGCCCATGGAACCTAGTGTGTAATTTTCATTGCCCCATCCTTTACAATCTGCACAATGGTCCATATGATGGTTGATGCACCACTTGAGCGTTCGTTGATTTTATAAAATAACCGAAGTTTTATATCTCACCATGAAAATTTATTTACAATCACGTACAAGATTTTGTTTTACACTTATTGAGTAAAGCTCGATCGGTCACAAGCATGCGTCGGTACAGAACATTCACTTGTCGTCAGGAGTGTAACCGAGAGAGAGAAAAAGAATATGTCAGACGGACTGCACATGTTTTAATAGCTCCATCTGGATTTTCAGATGCAGCGCTAGATTACAATTATTCGGTCGCCACAGTCCACTTTTTGAAATGACTATTGAAGAAGAGTTCAATGTACACAAATCACTATCCTCTTCATCTTACTCTTCACCACAAGATTCTGCTTTATTTTCTTCTCTTTCGAATGTTATTCTTTGAAGCAACGAAGGCTTGTAAAATTAAACATTCATTATTTAATTTTACAAGTTTTTGTTGCTCTTAATATAACATCGGGAAGTGTGTTATCTCGATCAGTTTTTCTTTTTGATGTGAGGAATTATTTGTAGGTTCACAACCTACAAATAAACGAACTTCATGAAAAACAGTAACTCTTGCATGAGATTAAATAAAATATGATAAAAGATGGAGGTAACCAAAAGTTTCCGGGAAAGTTAAGCAACTCGTTGCTGGATTTTTTTATAACCCAGTTTTTTCAGTATTAATTCTGGTTAAACAATATTTTATAAGCATATAATAACGTTGTTAAATTCTTTTACTGTATTTTCCATTTTTGTCTGCTTATTATAATTCTAAATTCTTTACTTGAAATGTATATGAGTCAACCAACCTCGAGGTGGGGTAGACAGACTGTCACACTGACGACTGTTGTAAAATAATAAAGATAAAATATTTACGCTCTGTATAGAGAAGCAAAAATTTTACACAAGCTAAGCAAAGATATGAAACTTAATTGTAATGTAAAAATATTTTGAAAATCTTTCATAGATAGTAATTAAAAAATTCGAAAGTAAAAACTGTGTAGTCAGTCCTAGTCTCCCCTATACGTTTATTACAAGTTTTATTGAATTTAATACAAAAGTTTGAAACAAAAATAAAACATCAATCTGCTTAAGGGAGTTCGTTTTCAGGAAGATATTCCTGGATATTAGATACATGACGAAAACCCGGAAACCTCCAGTCTGTTCGTTGGGCGCGAAATCCGGACCAATTACACTGTTGGGTGATTTTATCCACTCGGCCATTAGTAGGCACTAAGATTAGGAATTAAAGCTTAAAAGTTTTTCAAAGGCAAGCTTACATTTGGCTCACATAATGCTGTAAACGATTTTAGGAAATTCGTCGACTTCGCTTGCACCAATTTATGTTTTTATTGCAAAGTTAATTACAAAAAAAAAAAAACAAAGTGTAGACAGATTTTGCCTGGAGAAGTAAAATTCTGCAGTATTTTCCAATTTATATATAAATTTCAGTTCTCTCTCACTTTCTCATTCCTTAACTTCGTGTATAAGTGACGTTTGTTGATTTATTTTACGCTTTGCTATAAAGTTTTGGTGCTGACCCATGCTTTTAAATGATCAAAACAAATAAAACATAATCAAAGTTCTGCGCAGAACTTTAATTATGTTTTGCTTATTTGCAAACACAGTATGAAAATGTAGTACAATAAATATTTTATAAATGGTAGATTGAATTTTATAGTTTATAGTCTTGTTTAAAATGATTACAGCCATTATATTGCAATAACCTAAACTAAAATGTATTGAACTAAACATTTATTAGCCATGGTATTACAGTAGAATTACGTGAACGATTTTTTCATTCACAGAAAACAATTCTTTTTATTCTTTCAATTAACTTAGATGACAAATCTTATTAAATTTATGCGTTGTTTTCCTGAGATTTTTATGAATTCCATTCATAAAAATCTTTCAGTATTGATCTCCAAATCTCGTAAAAGATTAACTTACATAAAATCATAACATTTTAATTACATCTTCATTAAAAGTAATCTCAGGAATTCTGTCAAATATTGTAGGCTACTGAAGGATCTATGAACATTAACTTTTATAAATTCGTATTTAACGTATTAAAATTCCATTAGCCTATTATGTTTCCTGTTTAAATAAACTAACACGTTTGCAATAAATAACTGTAATTTGTTCAGCATTGCGAGGATATAGGCTAATGCTGTTTTCTAATTAAATTACAGTATCATGCACGACCATACTCCATTGCTCATCTTAAGACAAAGTATTGCTAAATATAGGCTATCAAAGATGCAATGCAAATCATCTCTATGAATTATAAATAGTGCATATATTGCATACAGTTATGAATACAGAGCATTTATCACTTCATCAACGTAAAAAATTGTTACTTTTATGTATATTAAAACTAGTTTCCAAGGGTCACTATTAAATTAGTTTAATGCTCATGATTAAATCTATAGAACATATTTAATCATATTTAAGTTAACAAAAACTGGTAGATAAAAATAGATAATAATCAATATTTACTTACATAAAGATAAGTAATGTATTAAATTGTCAATTCTGTTGATGTAAAATATTGCGGTTCTCAGCCAGTTTGTAATTCTTATAGAGGTGCCAGAAAATTTCAAGAAATAATAAAAAACTGCTAATTGTTTCTTTACTTTTTAATGTTATTTGTATATTTTTTATACAGAAAAATGCAGGTCTTTGACTTTCATTTTTCGTTTGTACAGTACATATAAAAGCATCTTCAATGCGACAAGATGGCATCCCAAAATTATCAGCTCAAAAAGATTGAAAATTTAGTGAAACCGTGATTATTTTGTAACCGATAATGTAATTAATTCATTTTCTTTAATGTAAATTGTGTTTAATTCTTTTCTATGATCATAAAAACCACAAGAACATTTTATTTTTATTATACAGGTAATATTTGATTGTTCTTCGTTGGTGGAACACATTTCTTTGCAAGCTCGCTACATTTGCTGTACTTCCATATAAATAAATAATTTAAAAGATTTTTATATTATCATAATTTCTCTTACTTTTTATAGAAAAACTATAACAAATACATGTTTTGTATTTTTATTACCTCATGCTCAATCTACTTAATATTGTTTACAATTAACAAATAAATAAATCTACGGATTTATTCTTTTTACATTGTTAACAGATTACTTAGATTGCTCGATAGAATTTCTCAATTATAAATGCACTAGAAGTATTACATTGCTAGAAGTTTATGAGAGTATAACTCTATACTTAAATCAGTAATCAGCAATTTTTAGCCACGAGAGTCTTTAAAAATTTTTACGTATGACATAAATATGCTTAACATCCGAATTTAGATACTCGATTTGCCGCATCATCATCATTCGAGAATGTTTCTCATCATCTCAACGGAGCTAAGCAGTGTAAACCCTTCGAAGGCTAACTTATATAAAGGGTAGGACACATTCGGTGCTAATTCACTCGCCAGAGGTACCAACATCGCTCCTTGCATAGCGAGGAATATCCGATGAACAAAAGTATATCTCGAAAAAAGTATATATATAAATGAAGAAATAAGAAACGTCCCAAATGGCGGGAACAGTAACAGAAGGTACAGAAGAAACGGAAGTGGCCACACCGATGACTAATGACGTGGCTGTGGTGGCTACAGACGGCATGGATTTTCTTTTTCGTCAGAAAGTAGCTAGCCAGTACCGAGTAAGGTTAGTAAATAGCATCGCGAGATATTTTTAGTTGTCAGCTCTGTCGCCTCACATACCCCCTCCTGACACGGTGACAGACTTCTCTATTTAATCACTTTAAAATTATTTATCGGTTCTATAATATATATTAATTAAACATATTTAACCATGGTCAGTCATATAATATATTTATTTATTAAATTTCTCTTATGTATATTTGGCTATAAAAATAAATTATAGGTAATTTAATACGCGAGAACAATTCTTACGCAAACAATGACTTTGATTTTAGTTTTTAAACGGAATAAATTCATTAATCAATAACTTAAATGAAAGATCTGAGTGTGTAGTGTATTTATAAACATAGAGAGCTTTCAGAACTTGTCATCATAATCTTAAGCATCAAGAATACTTCTAACAAATGATACTTCACTGTTTAATCATTTTGAATCTCGGACTTTACGTTTCTATAAGTATAAATGATATAATTTCTCAGCATATATACATACTTTTATTATAACAAAAACCAAGCAAATAACCAGTTTCTTGTTATAAAATATTTTAGAATTTATCATAACAAATAACTCTTAATAAGAAAATATAATTTTAAATGTGATAAATCTTAAAATTTGTAAGGTTTTTTTTGGATAATAAATCCAATCTAGCGTACATACAAGCCTATGTAAGTGTACTGTACAACGTTATGTAATTAGTAGTACCTTGCAGATTCTTTACTTTCTTTTTTTTTAAAATTAATATCAAATTCTATACTGTTTATTACATTTAAATAAGAAATAAGCTAGTAAAGTTTTAAAGAATAATACGTAGGGCATTTTTATTATAAAAATAACCTTTTTTTTTACATCTTAATCAACTATAAAAATATAGGAATTAAAAGATGTAGGCAGGCAATTCTTACTGTAAAGAGATTTTAGTTTTAAACGAGTTAAACATATTCATAAACATGTAGAATATTAGTGACAATACAATATAATGATATCTTTACAGTGGCCTTTATAAATCACGTCTGAAGTTCTGCATCTTTCTTCACTTCGTCCTCTTTTTAGCCATGTGTACCAAAGTAACGGAAGACATTCTGGATCGTTTAGACATCTTCATCTTGGAGTTAGAAGAGCTTTACATACCTAAACCATTAATATGGGAATGGATATGGTTATCGAGCTTCGTCTTCATCTTTTCAGGTTTAAAAGGGATCAAGCGCAACAAAGTCACTTCCGTAACAACATACGCCATTGGCATATTTCTGTTCGGTGTATGTCCGGTTATCGGTGCCGGTATATATTATTTTAAAGAAATGTGGCATTATGTTCAAACTAGGGATAGCACGGATATCGAAAAATGGCAAGGTTATCCCATAGCTCTCTTATGGTATGTCTTTCTTACTTTATGTTTCCAGGTACATATTTTCTCTTTATATTTCGCTGTTAGGCTCATAAGAACATGGAAACTGAAAGCTAAAAAAAGTAATTAATCTTACGTGTACAGTTGTACTACTTAATATTTAAAATAAAAAAAAAATAATCTGTTTTATTTGGATCCTACAAGTGCCTTGTAGACGTGATAATGTCTAAGGGTTGTTAGCCATATTTAATTTTTTTTTAAATGTATATATTGTTAACCTGTGGAAGCATAAATTTTAAGAATTTTTCACGTGTTCAGAATGTTCGGAGATGGGTGCTTGTTCAGGCCTGTATTACATATTTAAAGTATTTGTGTATCTTTCTTGTCTGGAATGTTGGAAGTGTAAAGAAACTGAACATGTCTAATATCCTAAAGCTGGTGGAAATTTTTCAAAAAAATATTGTCAGCCTGATGATGTTATTGTGTAGAATTTTACTGTAAGTTTTTATCAGATTAAATTTTTAAAATGTCTGCCTTGTGATATCTCTTGTGTATTTTTATACAAAATGAGTCAGCATTGATTTCTTCTATAAAAATATAACACAAACTTATCTCCACTTGAGAAGCTTTCCTACTCTGATAGCACATTTTGTAGACGGAGAAATTCAAAATTTTATTTAAAAAAATCTTTAAAAAATATTTTAATTTATTAAAAAAATACAGCAAAAATTTTAGTATATAATGTATAAAATTGAGTATCATTAAAAATTGATTTTTTATTCAATTATTTTAATTATTATTTTAATATTTTAAAGACTCGTTATCAAGGATCCATGCTATGATCCCATTCCAAATCAATTCTTTCTACTTTTGGCACTATGAGACTGTATTTACTTTGTCTGGTTGCTCTCCATCTTAGATTTACTTTCTTAACACAGTAAATTACAAGAGATATGAAAGATGAGACCCCTATTAAGATAGATGCTATGAATATGAGAAGAATAGGAAAACTATCAGTAAAATAATATTTTTGACAAACAAAATCATCCGCTTTTAATTTAGATACTGGAATATTTTCGTAGTATGAAGGTGAAGCGCATCTGTAATGTAAAAAATATGATTATTTTATATTTATAATTAATTTTTCTATAAAATCATTTAACTAACTTATATAAATTTAAATTTAAATAATTATCATCCTTGTTATAAAAAAATTACTCCCTGATCTTTTTTATTCTTCACATTGCTCATAAAATCTGTTACTTAATTGATCATAAAAAACAATTTATTAAGGAATTTAATAAATAATTTTCAACTTATCCAATATTATACTGTAAAAATAATATAAAAATACGAGAAAATTAAATAAAAATTCGCTAGAATTACTAATAAAGATGATATTTAGACAGCGATATACACATAAAATTTGATAAGCTTACTTGATGTTTTCTTGAAAGTTCTGTTGCTGGTGATAATCGGCCATCCATCGCAAATTACAATCGCACCTCCACGGATTTTCACGCAAATCTAGATAAGGTATGTCGTTCCAGGATAAGAGATCATGAGGAAGATACTCCAGCGCATTATCTCTCAAATGTAATTGCTGCAAACGAAGGGCGAATGCCGAACCATTCTTTCGAAATGCATCGCTATCGATATACATCAATTCGGGATTGTAGCTACATTGCAACGTGTGTAAATTCACCAAATCTCCAAATGAAAACTCTCTAATGGTTATTAATCCACGTTGCCTGTTCATGAATAAGGTTGCTAAGTTTCGCAATCCTCTAAAATCATTCGGTTTGACTTCTACGATTAAATTTTCCGATATATCGAGCATTTGCAATTGTTCAGCATTCTGGAGAGCTCTGGATGGCACTTCATGGAAGAAGTTGCTAGCTAAGGATAAAGTCTTCAGGTTAGGAGTATACTTGAAGAGATTGCTAGGTAAAATGGTTAAACCGGTGCTTTCTAATTCCAACTTTTCCAGCATTGGTAAATGTTCGAAAGATATGTCATCTAGATTCATTAGTGGATTGAATTTCAATTTCAATTCTCTCAATTCAGAAGTATCTTCGAATATATCAGAAAGAAAGGTTTGCAATTTGTTAAAACTTAAGTCCAGCATTCTTAAATTATGAAGACCTTGTAACATATTAACTGGAATACTTTGTAATTCGTTGTGTGATAAATAAAGATGGGTGAGTTTTTCGAAACCCAAAAATGCAGTACTTGATATATAATTCAGGCGATTAAATGATAAATCTAAGAAACTTACTCCCGCTCCATTGTAGAAAGTGTTTACGTTGATGATAGCGATACGATTACCTTGAAAGTTAATTGATTCTACATTTACTGGAAAAAGAAGGTTATTCGGAAGTTTTTCTAAGTTTAATTGTATACAATCTACAAATTTTCCTTCGCTGTTGTGAGGACATACACATTTAAACTCTTCGCTACAAAGACGTTCGTATCCTCTATCTTCTAAATTGTAATAGGGATTTCTACTCACAGATTTATAACTCCAAACTGTGCAAAATGGCAGAAGCAGAAACGAGATCACAAACTTCATTTTTATCTGAAAAACAACATTTAAATTCGAAAATTGAGAGCAATCTAACAATTTAAAACGATAAGAAAATGACGATAAAATTCATTACGGTATCTAAATGCAAGCTGTTGTATATTTGCCTTTTCAAATATCAAATTTTAAGCACGAAAATTTATTTAAATGAACTATAATTTACGTTTTGAGATCTTTACAGATATTTTGATAAATACGAAAATGAAAGTAAATTTAAAATATGAATTTCGCAACAATTAAATGTTGGACTTTATTATACAGTAAAATTTACACTTTGAAATCTCATAAAGACCTATATAAATTACTCACCAATAATTCCGACAATGGTGGAACTGCTGTTGAAAAGCACTAGAAAAAGGACGATTTTCTATTGTCGATATCTATTATTCTCTCTAAATCTGTGCAAAGGTAAAATGACGCACCTACAATGTAGCAACATGTCTTATCAGCTCTTTACTAAGCACAGAATAAAGTTCACCCAACGATAATGTCGATCATGGAATATTTTCTTATCGGTTCCTTTTTAATAAAATAACATTTATTTATATTTTTGCCTGTGTTTCTGATCTATTTCAGCTTCTATTTTCGTATGCGAAACAATTTTTTGTTAGTATAAGTACTGTACTTTAAATGATTAGGAACAGCGTGCATGTTCATAATTACACAATGCATTGCATATTAATATGTTAGGAGCTTGTATTATTTATTTAATGCTCTAATTTTATATATACAAAATATCTTTATACTTGATTATAATGAAACACATTATAAAGGTTAAACTGTAAAAGGTTTATTCCAAAATACTTGTAGGAAATTTAAAACAAGATCTTTTCTTATAAAGGATTGAAGAACTGTAAATGTAGAATTCTTATATCGAATATTTAAAGTTGAATAGGTGATTCCTGTCAACAATGGCCTCATAATGCGATGATTTATGCATTTATGCATTGATCCAAGATGATTTAGATCGCTATTCCGGTCCGTATGATCCGAAATAATGATCTAAATCATCCTGCATAAATATATTTGTTATGATTAAATAGGAAGTTTCTGAAAAGTTCATTTTGTTGACTCAAAATCTCTATACTTTAATTATTATTTTAAAAATTTCTATACAATTTATCTCACATATTTACCGAATATATGAATAACATTTCTTATCTAAGAAAATTTTACGCAGTTACTAGGCCTATAGTAGGAGAGATAATAGAGAATGAATAAACTTCACTGCAATACTAGAGACAAGTTGTAGTTTTTTTCGGATTAGAAATATATTCAGGCTTTCTTTTTCTAACATTATTATACAAAAAAATAACATAAAAATTCATTCATGCGTATGATAACATTATCAATTATTATAATTCGATACGTTTAATTGAACTTTACTTTCTATCTGCTTTTTTTAAGTCATTAATTTGTGTTACGTTTATCTACAGATTATCGAACTGCATTAATTTTCTCGTTAGTTTACGATATAACTGTGTACTTCCTGAAATGCTAATCTCGCTAATTAAAAGCCATTCAACAGTTACAAATATAGTTCAATTAACCTAGTGTAGCATCGGTCTATTAAACAAGTTATCCTCATTCTATCTGCTTGTTATAAGAAATCCAGTAAGAAAATCTCGAAACTAATACAGAATTTAGTCAAACAGATAAGAACGGATTGTTAAAGATGAAAAGAAATACAGTATATAAATATATGTTGACGGCCTTTTAAAAAACGTTATCCAAATTCCTAGTTTGAACTCGAAAGGAAGGTCGACCCAGTTGATTGCCTTGCTCCTATTGAAATCAAGGTTAGTCACTCGATGAGGAATTTTTTTTGGCATTTTTGAGAGACTTCCAATCTATGTCCATGTGCAAGATATCGACATTTTTAGCGCTTATTATATTAGTCCGTGGGCAGGAATGGGTTCGGCAATTAATTTTGGATCCTTATAATAAATATCATGTAGGATGGTGGATTACTAATGATATTATTGGATTTCAAGTGGAAGTGGCTACAAGAGGGTGGATCGGCTTTGGCATCTCTAGAAATGGACAGATGGCCGATAGCGATGTGGTAATTGGATGGGTGAATGACGGAAATGCTATTTTACAGGTATTTTAAATTTATTTCAATGAAGAAAATTTATTTCTTCGTTAAGCGTCTTTTATGTAACTAAAAATTTCATTTTAAATCCTTGTGAATATATTACAAAGATTATTCATATAATCATTTTTTTACTATTTATATATTTTCATTATTAAAAATATTTTTTACAGTTAAATGTTATTTAAGATCGATTTAAATATTTTGCAGATGTAGAAATTACAGATATAATTAAAAAAAAAATAATCATCAATTAAAATTGCTCATCATTAAGAGGTAGAAAAAAATACAATCAAATATTTTAATTAGGATTACATTTTTTAAATGAAATCTATATAAGTTAAGTAATTTAACACACACACACACGAGTACATACATACATACATACGTATGTGTATATACATGACTTCTTAGAAGTAGACAGAAGCCTGGGCCACAAGGTCTAATTTACACATAAACTAAATAAGTTACAGCTTAAGGTCTAAGAATACAAGACAAGATTATGAACATACGAACAACTCATATCTTTTAAATTTATCATAATTTGATGGAAAAGGAAAGGCCTCTTACAATTTATAACTGAGATCCACAACTTTAAATTTGTCCTTGTAAGACATTTAACTTCCTGAATATACAGAGGGCCTGAAAAAGCATTAAAAACTTTAATTCAATTTTTTTAAAGTGTAAAATTTAACATGTGAATTTCTTTTCTTACTAAATAAAAAATGCAATGGAATAAATAATTTTGTGAGGCCAATGCCAAATGGACCTGTAGGCTTCTCCTTAATACAGTCTGTACACATACATACTGTATGTATATGCACATAAACATACATACTGTATATGCATATATAACTTATCTATATACATCTTACATATTACACATAATGCATTTAATGCATTTAAATAATGAATTAAATTAGAAAATTAATACTTATATATAAAAATTATAATTGAAATATTTCTATTTTTATTTCTTAATGACAATAAATATTAAAAAAAAACTTTTAAAAGTATAAAAAAAACTTATTTATGTGATAAAACATTATAATAAATACAATAAAAGATATTAATATGAATTTCTATTATATATAATATTATCAATATTAACAGAATTTAAATATTTCAGGATAGACACATTAACAAAGGAAGGAAAGTTTTAGTGGATAGTCAACAGGACTGGATATTAGATTTTGGTGAAGAAAATGAAACACATACAAAATTAAGATTCCACAGAAGATTAATGACCTGTGATAATGATGATCTGCCCATTGATGTGAGAAATTAAAATAGTTTTTGCTTTTTTTTTTTTCATTATCATTTTAAAAACAATAAAAATCAGAGCATGAGTTCAATAATCAGTGTTGATTACATTAATTACTTTAGTTTTTGTTTTATAAAATTCTTTGATTAACAGTTGGCATTATTTTTCTATTTAAAGGATAGCATGACTCATCTGATATATGCCTATCATCGTGAAGATCCAGCTTTTGACAGGATACCTGTCAGACATTATCCACATCACAGAGGGTCAAAGAAAACTATTCTCTTACAAGGAAATCAGATTAATTTAATAAGAAAAAATTATAGTATCTGGGAAATACTTGCACCTAATGTAAGATAAAAATCATAATTTATATAATATTTACTAAATAAATCATTATGCTGTAATTTAATTTTGATTTTATACAGAATACTATACCTAAAAATAAGGATACAACTTATCTGTGTACTTTATTCAGAGTTCCCTATGTTGGAAGAAAACGTCATGTCTTTGAAGTAATTTTGATTTTCATATCTAATTATTCATAAGAAACATTTTAAAACATTTTTACTTTTTTCTAGATAGAACCCATAATACAGAAAGGTAATGAACAATTTGTCAATCATATTGTTCTATATAAGTGCTTAAAAATCAGACCCAAAACTGTTCGTCCATATTTAAACAACAAAAGCTACAATTGTTATTATCCGGATATGCCAGATATATTTTCAAATTGCCAAACTGTACTTTTTTCGTGGGCTTTAGGTGGTGAAGTAAGTATATTTATGCCATAATAAAATTGTTTCTTCTCAATCTGATGTGCATGTAATAATGATTGTGTTTTGCATTAGTCATTTATTCTTCCTAAACATGTTGGTTTACCATTTGGTGGAAAAGATGGAATATTTTTCCTATTAGAAATTCATTATGATAATCCCAATTTTATGTCAGGTAAGAATTTAAACAATCAAGATTTTTATAAAATTTATATAAAGCAGTAATAAAAACATTTATTTAGGAATTGTTGATCATTCTGGTCTTAGACTCTATTATACTACACATTTAAGGAAATTTGATGGAATGACTTTAGTGGTTGGAGCTGTTTATGAACCTTGTGTTATTATTCCACCAAATGATAATAATTTTATTGTGGCAGGACATGGTGATCCAAAATGTCTTTCTCCAGTAAGTCACAGTAATTAAAATTATATTTTACAGAAAAATTGTTAATAATTTAAATAAAAAATTAATTTTTTTTATTTATATACAATAAAATAAAACTAACATTATTATTATTAAAAGAAAATTATGACTATTATACTGTACTGTATTTATTTGTTAAATGGAATATTAAGAGATTGAAACAAAGGTAATTCATTTAGTTATAAAATGATCCTGTTATTATATTTCCTAAATTTATTGTGTAAGTAATTAAAAAAAATCAGAAATATACAGTGATCAAAGATTAATATGTATTTCTACTAAATATTACACAATGTAAATGAATAGTGACTTCTCCTAATTCTCTATATTTACAGTTAAAACAAAAAATTGATAGCTCAATATCAAGGGTTATCATCTTTCTAGTTCAAGATGGCATTAATTTCTTTTATTTTATTTCAATATTTTCATTATATTTATTTTTTTATATTTTCCTTTTTTTCTTTCTTTGTTTCATTCTAATGTTTTCCTTATATTTCTTTATAACTGTTGTTATTTTGTTATTATTTTAACTTAAAATTTTCTTTACACTAGCAAAAATTTTATATTTCAACCATCATAAAATATTTGAAAGTTTTATTATTCATTTGAAATATGATTTAGACTAAATACAATTTTATATTGTTCAAAATAACTGAATTGTTTCAGAATTTTGTACATTGAATCATGGATAATAAAGAGTATTCTTTATTTATTTACACAAAAAATACTCAACTGATCTAATACTGCAGTTTATGAGATCTAAATCACTTAATAATTTTTCAACTTTCTAAAGACAAAGATTTTGTAAAAAAAAATTTAGTAGTGTCTCAATTTATATAAATTTTATTACTCATTTGTAAGACCATTACTATGTATTATTAACATGCTATTGTTCTTCAATCAAATAAACTTCTTAAAGTTTTGGAAAACTATTAGTCATATTTTTATAAGGGATAACTTTAATTATAAGTTGAAATTAAACTTAAGATATAGACAAACACAAAAGAATATATTACCTTTTTCTTAAAGTTAGGTTGATATATATTGGATATATTATATTAATTAAAGTACTTAATTAAACAAAAAACATCACACAAGATCAGCTTATTTAAGTAGGTATTAAATATTTAAAATATTCAAAAATATACTGAGGAATTTTACAAATTTTATCTGTAGAAAAAAGTTCAAAGTCATAATTAGAAAAATGCCATTTCATTTACTCTACATGTGATTTTATATAAATTTTTCAAGATAATATTTAAAATTTTATTTTAGAATAATTATAATTACTTTTTTTTATTACATTTCATTTGGAAAATTTCAATAATCAATTCATTCCATAATTCAATATAAATTATAATTAATTTATGCTTAATTTCTATAATTTACTGTTTTAAGAAATCAGCAATGTCATTTTTTTTTGTTAATTATATTCATTATAGAGTATAATGCAAGATATAAATAATAATGTAACATGATTTTTTTTAAAATAATATAGCCATAAAATCTACATTAATATAACTCTAAAAATAATAATTTTGGATTATTTTCATCAGGTATGGGTAACCTGTGATCTCCATGTTGTGAACAGTATTCTGTGACTTTTTCTATGACCACATACTATTAAGATTCTTAAGTGTATTTACGTTGTAAGTAATTTACAATAAGTTTGTGTGTCCAGTGAGCAGAAATCATAAGGTTTTAAACAATAAATATGAAGATTAGTTATTTATAGTGTTTGTGTTTCCTTTAAAGATGTGGAATTGGCATAAAATTTGATGTTTTTAATAATTCAGTCTCACATGAAAGCAGTGTCATATGGCCTTTTACTACAGAATGATTGCCCATACCTGGTTGTAATTAATATATACTATATATATATGTATATTTATTGACAGGATACCTGTCAGACATTATCCACATCACAGAGGGTCAAAGAAAACTATTCTCTTACAAGGAAATCAGATTAATTTAATAAGAAAAAATTATAGTATCTGGGAAATACTTGCACCTAATGTAAGATAAAAATCATAATTTATATAATATTTACTAAATAAATCATTATGCTGTAATTTAATTTTGATTTTATACAGAATACTATACCTAAAAATAAGGATACAACTTATCTGTGTACTTTATTCAGAGTTCCCTATGTTGGAAGAAAACGTCATGTCTTTGAAGTAATTTTGATTTTCATATCTAATTATTCATAAGAAACATTTTAAAACATTTTTACTTTTTTCTAGATAGAACCCATAATACAGAAAGGTAATGAACAATTTGTCAATCATATTGTTCTATATAAGTGCTTAAAAATCAGACCCAAAACTGTTCGTCCATATTTAAACAACAAAAGCTACAATTGTTATTATCCGGATATGCCAGATATATTTTCAAATTGCCAAACTGTACTTTTTTCGTGGGCTTTAGGTGGTGAAGTAAGTATATTTATGCCATAATAAAATTGTTTCTTCTCAATCTGATGTGCATGTAATAATGATTGTGTTTTGCATTAGTCATTTATTCTTCCTAAACATGTTGGTTTACCATTTGGTGGAAAAGATGGAATATTTTTCCTATTAGAAATTCATTATGATAATCCCAATTTTATGTCAGGTAAGAATTTAAACAATCAAGATTTTTATAAAATTTATATAAAGCAGTAATAAAAACATTTATTTAGGAATTGTTGATCATTCTGGTCTTAGACTCTATTATACTACACATTTAAGGAAATTTGATGGAATGACTTTAGTGGTTGGAGCTGTTTATGAACCTTGTGTTATTATTCCACCAAATGATAATAATTTTATTGTGGCAGGACATGGTGATCCAAAATGTCTTTCTCCAGTAAGTCACAGTAATTAAAATTATATTTTACAGAAAAATTGTTAATAATTTAAATAAAAAATTAATTTTTTTTATTTATATACAATAAAATAAAACTAACATTATTATTATTAAAAGAAAATTATGACTATTATACTGTACTGTATTTATTTGTTAAATGGAATATTAAGAGATTGAAACAAAGGTAATTTATTTAGTTATAAAATGATCCTGTTATTATATTTCCTAAATTTATTGTGTAAGTAATTAAAAAAAATCAGAAATATACAGTGATCAAAGATTAATATGTATTTCTACTAAATATTACACAATGTAAATGAATAGTGACTTCTCCTAATTCTCTATATTTACAGTTAAAACAAAAAATTGATAGCTCAATATCAAGGGTTATCATCTTTCTAGTTCAAGATGGCATTAATTTCTTTTATTTTATTTCAATATTTTCATTATATTTATTTTTTTATATTTTCCTTTTTTTCTTTCTTTGTTTCATTCTAATGTTTTCCTTATATTTCTTTATAACTGTTGTTATTTTGTTATTATTTTAACTTAAAATTTTCTTTACACTAGCAAAAATTTTATATTTCAACCATCATAAAATATTTGAAAGTTTTATTATTCATTTGAAATATGATTTAGACTAAATACAATTTTATATTGTTCAAAATAACTGAATTGTTTCAGAATTTTGTACATTGAATCATGGATAATAAAGAGTATTCTTTATTTATTTACACAAAAAATACTCAACTGATCTAATACTGCAGTTTATGAGATCTAAATCACTTAATAATTTTTCAACTTTCTAAAGACAAAGATTTTGTAAAAAAAAATTTAGTAGTGTCTCAATTTATATAAATTTTATTACTCATTTGTAAGACCATTACTATGTATTATTAACATGCTATTGTTCTTCAATCAAATAAACTTCTTAAAGTTTTGGAAAACTATTAGTCATATTTTTATAAGGGATAACTTTAATTATAAGTTGAAATTAAACTTAAGATATAGACAAACACAAAAGAATATATTACCTTTTTCTTAAAGTTAGGTTGATATATATTGGATATATTATATTAATTAAAGTACTTAATTAAACAAAAAACATCACACAAGATCAGCTTATTTAAGTAGGTATTAAATATTTAAAATATTCAAAAATATACTGAGGAATTTTACAAATTTTATCTGTAGAAAAAAGTTCAAAGTCATAATTAGAAAAATGCCATTTCATTTACTCTACATGTGATTTTATATAAATTTTTCAAGATAATATTTAAAATTTTATTTTAGAATAATTATAATTACTTTTTTTTATTACATTTCATTTGGAAAATTTCAATAATCAATTCATTCCATAATTCAATATAAATTATAATTAATTTATGCTTAATTTCTATAATTTACTGTTTTAAGAAATCAGCAATGTCATTTTTTTTTGTTAATTATATTCATTATAGAGTATAATGCAAGATATAAATAATAATGTAACATGATTTTTTTTAAAATAATATAGCCATAAAATCTACATTAATATAACTCTAAAAATAATAATTTTGGATTATTTTCATCAGGTATGGGTAACCTGTGATCTCCATGTTGTGAACAGTATTCTGTGACTTTTTCTATGACCACATACTATTAAGATTCTTAAGTGTATTTACGTTGTAAGTAATTTACAATAAGTTTGTGTGTCCAGTGAGCAGAAATCATAAGGTTTTAAACAATAAATATGAAGATTAGTTATTTATAGTGTTTGTGTTTCCTTTAAAGATGTGGAATTGGCATAAAATTTGATGTTTTTAATAATTCAGTCTCACATGAAAGCAGTGTCATATGGCCTTTTACTACAGAATGATTGCCCATACCTGGTTGTAATTAATATATACTATATATATATGTATATTAAATCGTTAGAATATAAATTTTATGATAAATTCTAAGATTTTATTTTTCAGGCAATTCCAGCAAATGGAATAAAAATATTTGCTGTCTCACTACATATGCATTTACTAGGTAATGTATTTTTCATAATTTTGTTTGAATTTATTACATTAATTACTTTTGTTTTTAGGAAATAGCTTATAAATAATTGATATATTATTAATATACTAACAATATATAAATTTAATCCACTCATTTTTCTGTAAATAGCAAGAAAATACATAAAGATCTGTAAATTGTAGATTTCTGTAATATTTTATAATGGGATAAAAATTAAACACAAATAAATTTCAGATAAAATTTAAGACAAAATATTTATTAATTATGATTTTATCTATATTTAAAAGTTTTAAATTACTAAATACATGTTAATAATCAACAATTTTAATTATTATTGACAATAGAAAACAAACTTATGAAATAATAGAGTATAATCTCACCCATTATTAAAGAAATAAATGAACACTTAAATACAAATACTATCATAAGTTTGTGGTGAAAAAAATAAAACTGTAAATATCAAATTATCGTATCTATTTTAATTAAACTTATAAAAACAATAACCAAAGCCTTGTTTAACTAATTATAAATATAAACTGCCATTTTTTCAGATTATATTTATATTAACTTTTAATTTGGTCAAATTCAGTATGGTAATTCAGTTAATTAAAAATTAGCATAAATATAACCTAAAAATTAAACAGTTTAGATTTATATTTGAACATTTTAAAATGTTATAATAATTGAATATACTATGTATTCTTTTTCCAAAAAATTGCCTATAAAATTTTATATGTATATATAAAACTTTATAAGCAATTATTTATGAAGGAATTTAATTAAACTTTATTTTTGAATGAATATAATTAAAAATTATTTAAAACTTCAGTTTTTACAGGATAATCTTTTATGCTTGAGCATTATTTAAATTTCATTTACGCTATATAAATTCCATTAATTAGATTATACTTTTGTCTGGTAAAGGCAAAAGATTCAAGTTTTCTACTCTTCAAATATATTTCTATAATTAAACTTTATGATTTATGAAAATATATTAAAAAAATCAATTTAAAAATTGTCATATTTTTCTGTCATCTAAGCACTGATAGGGTATTGATTTCATTCATTGCTAATAGAGTTTAAATGTAGTCAATAATTTTTATAATTTTCTTTTTCTAATCAGAAAACTTCATGAAAAATATATATTTTTTAAAATTTTATTTTATCATAAATATATATTTTAAAGTAATTTTTCAGGTAGAAAATTTGTTCTTCGCCACTTTAGAGGAAACAAAGAACTGCAACCCATAGTCAGTGAAAAAAATTATGATTATTATTTTCAGGTAATTAATTAATTTTTTAAAACATTTTAAGTGATTTTTATATTACTACTTAATGATATTTTAACATTAGGAATACCATTACTTACAAAAAGAAGTCACTGTTCTTGCTGTAAGTATTAAAATTTACATCACCCTTTTTATGAATAATTAATATATTTTGATGAATTTAATATTTAAATACTTCAGATTATTGTTAACACATTACATTCAGATTATTGTTAACATTAATTATGCTTTAATCAACTTTTATTCTAGACTGATCATCTTGTTGCTGAATGTACTTATAACTCAATAGGAAGAAACATAACAACATTTGTATGTAATATTTGAAATTCTCTTTTATTTAATTAATATTTTCTCTTAATCTGAATTATTTTTCTAAGGGAGGATTAGGAACTAAAGATGAGATGTGTCTGGCATTCATTCTCTATTATCCAAAGATAGCCAGATCTTTTGCAATAAGTGCACCATCATGTAATCTAGTTGTTGGATTAGCTGGTGTTGAGAAAAATTGGCCGTAAGTATTAAATTCTTTAGAGCACTTTCAATATTTTTAATGTTTGTAAATTGTTTCAGAATTTTAACTAATTTCTAAATTTGGAGTATTATCATTTTATTTCCAGTATAAAATGCCTTAGTTTATCAATTTACTAAAACAAATATAAAATTAGAGCCTAGAAAACATTCAAACAGTCTAGAAGAATGGGAAATAAAATGAAAAACACTAATGACTAAGTAACAATAGTAAATTAGATAATGAAACACCAAGGTCTGCAACACAAACTAAGTCAAGTATCTAAAATACATTCTGTAGTTTAAATACTTGACTTATAAATAATTAAAACATTTACAAATCATACAAAAATAATTCTTTAAAAATGATCAGCAAAAATAACTTCTATAACTAGTTCCAGTTGTTTTATTATATTCTATGGCTAAATGTTTCATGCTTTCAATCAAATGTGTTATTTGTAAATGTTTATACCAACTAAAATACTTGTTTTTCCTATACTTTGATATTTATTGTGTTAAACTATTGAGTTTTGAATAAATTTTAGTGAGATACTGAAATAATCATATAAATTTTGTGGCTTTTTAATAAAATTCTTTTTATAGCATTATTTTATATGAACAGAATTAAGTAAAAAGATATTGACAAGAAAAAAGTATTAGAATAACAAAATACTGTACCTCCATGAGTCATTAAAAAAGAAAAATTGTAAAATGCTTAAAATAGAATAGTTTTATTGTTTTTTTATTTTATAGTGAATATGTTACAATGAATAAAACATTAAAATCATAATTAGATAAAAAAAGACAATAAAAATTAATTTTGCTGTTACCAAAACCAATGGAACGTAAGTGAAATTTTTGTATAAAAAAATGATTTGGGGCATTAAAGTATTATATATGAAAGAACAACTTGTCCAAGAGACAAATGTTTGAAAGTTGAGGACCATCTGATAGTTTAACTCTTTAAACTCTGAAAATTTCTTCCTATGTACAGTACCCAGATATGAAATTATTTTTACCCTCAGGCTATGCTTTAATGGTGGGAATATGTAAAGCGAAACTAGTCAAACAACTTTGCATTCAGCCAATTTCATCTCAAACATATTAAACATGAGATCTGCCTTAAACTGTTATGTAATTCTATTATTTAACTCTGTTTACTTCATATTTAAGTTAACAGAAAAGCTTTACAAATTATTTCAGAATCAAATAAAAATGGTAATTTTATTTTTGTTGACTAATAATGTGTACCCTGTTAGCTTGCAATTAATTTCATTTCAATAACTTGAAGATCACAGGTTATTGCAATGAAATTATATGATGATGAATAAAACACGGCTACATCAGAGTTGGTTCTTGACAAAACATTTTAATAAATTATATTATATTACATTAAAAATACTGAAAATATAACATTAATGTTATTCTACAAGTTATATTTTATTTTATGTAATAAAATGCAAATAAATATTAAACTTAGCACCTTAATTTAATACTAGTAATTGTAGAATCTCATTTAAATTATATAAAATTTATCTTATAATTTGAATATTTTAGGGAATCAGAGATTTTAGAATCTCCCTTAACAAAAGAAAATCAAACTTTTCTTCACTATCTAGCAACATATCCTTGGAGAGTAAATTACATTGATATAATGGAAGAGACGATAAGATACAGTCCTCATCTTTCAACATGTATATTTGGAAACAGCACAAGAATAATTGTAAGTAATTTTGCTCATCAGACAAATGTTCCATAAAAACATGCAAGTATATCTTTATTTTATTTCAGATGAACAGTCACGTTACATATCCAGTAAATTTTACATCTTATCAGGAAGCTGACTGCTCAAATGCCATGGAAAAGTGCAATTATTTTTGCAAATTTTACATAATTTATTTTTTAGTTATATATTTCTGTTACACATAAATTTCTTTATACAGGATGTGCAGTTTAATATTCTAAAATTTGATTCAATTAAAAAATCTTCCAATTAGAAGCATATGTTTCCAAAACAAATTGATAAAATGTTCAGGAAAATTTCAAGACTAATGCAAATTACATTTATGAACAAAGCAAATACATTACATAATTTAGATAAGATATAGTACAATAACTATAGAATCTATTTAAAAATCATTAACTGAAACGATCATTCATAAACTGTAAAATTTGTTTTCTGAAATTATTAATTATTGAAAAAGGAACATAATGGATTCCATTTAACTCATTATTTTAGATTTGTATTAGCTCAAACTGAAAAAAATTATTTTGTTTATTTTTAATTTGTAAGGTTTGATGTTTAAATATTCATTACAGTATAATTCAGCAATAAGAAAGTGCATTTGAAAGGTTTAAAATGTATATTCTTATTGCTTCATTAATTACAACTGATTTAATAACAATATCATTTATACATTAGAATGAATGTATAATAAGAATTATCCAGTTTGTATTGATATAAAACACTTGTTTGGAAAAAATCTCCAATGATTATTGGATTCCTAGTGTAATCAGATTAATTTATTGTATACTGGATTAACGTTGAAGAGAGACATTTAAAAAATGTTTCATGAATTCAAATATTAAACTGAATTTACAAAATACTTTTGAAATGAGTTTTTCATTCTTGAAACTTGAGAAAAATTTAATTACAGTCGACCCCCCTATAATGGAAATTCCTATAACGTAGCGAAAAAATTGTAGCAACATTCGTATAAAGGAGCTCCTAAAATGTTGTCACCGACTCGTTTTGCAACAAGATTGATAGAATCTGGACCAATAGTGGATGAGCAGCCGAACTACTTTTCTCCACCCTGCGCCACGCTACGGAGCTGCTAAATTGAGTTTGCTATCATCTGTACAGTATTATATATAAATTATATATAAATAAGGTACTGTACATATAATTATATATAAATTAGGTACTGTATATATAATTATATCAGGTCAGGCCATAAGTTCGTGCGCATTTTTATCTACAAAAAAAGCAACAAAAAATTTTAATTAAATCTTATTTCAATCTATAATGTATTCACCATTATTTTGTACAATTTCTTGCCATCTTGATGATAGCTTTTTAATCCCATCTTTGTAAAATGATTTCGGTTTTGAATCAAAATATTCAGAAATAGCCTTTTTTACATTGTTCTCATCCTCAAAAGTTTTTCCTTTTAAAAAATTCTGCAAACTCCGAAAAAGATGATAATCACTGGGAGCAATATCTGGCAAATATGGTGGATGAGGTAAAATTTCCCAGTTGAAGCTTT